CGTGGTGGAGAACCCGGGCAGGTGTTTAACACACATTGACATCCTGTGAAGAGAAGTGAAATGGCGAAGATGTGTCTTTCTTGTGAACCGAACTAACCAGCTCGATGGCAGAGACGAAACTACGTTTGACGACTAACGACTTTACCCGAATGGCACCGATGTACAACGCTGAAGAGATGAAGATTTCAGAACCCCTTATACGAAGGATGAGTACCGGATAGGACTGTATAATTAAGAATTGAGCGACATTAAAGACAAGAAGATGAAAGAACGACCCGGACTAACGCGACAAGAGAGAAGACGCTTATAGACTTTGACTTTAGCTATCTGTGTATTGCTTAGAGAACCGCTCGTTGGACACTGTAACTGACACTGTGTAACTCAAGACGTTGAACTCTTTTCCACATTCCTAACCCTATTGCTCAGTAATGTAATGTATTGCTTGCTTTTCCTATTGTTTCTACCGTTTTTTTTTTTGTGATGTCGAATTGTATGTATGTAAGCGCCCAGATCTTTGTTTTGAACTGATATTTGGTGACGTTCGAGGTCCTTTATAACGATTTAAGCGCGTTTCAGTGGACGAGTATTTGCAACACAGTGTTTTGAGTTTTGTGAAGTTTTTATGGTGTTTTAATGAGTTCATGAGTACGGATATGATGGGGAAAGTAATGCCCCCACGAGTTTTTCAGAGTTTTGAGATTTGTCGAGTACAGAGATATCGCCGTTTAAGAGTTGTTTTTGTTTATGTGTTGTTTTCCGGAATACTTCTGACGCTTTTTTGAGTTGATAGCACCTTTGTAACGTTTTTTTTATGTCTTTTGGGGATGAGAGTTTGGTGCGCTTATATACGTATTGTTTGATATCGCAAGCTTTTGTTCATGATTGACAGGTTTATATGTGACTCAGTAGTTTCTATCGTTTTAGCCTTTTCGCCAGAGGAGTAATGTGTTATGAAAGCGAATTTGTCTTTGCATTCTGTTACCACGCCGTATGACTTTTGTTTTGATTAACGACTTTTGAGTTCAGTTGAAGTTTATAAGCGTATATGACAGGAGTTTGATTAATAGCTTTTCATTCATTCTTTATTAGTTACCGCTTTGCAATGCTTTAACCGAGAGACGCATCTATGGTAATCACGTGATCATGCTGTAGACTGCAGCGATTGGCTGATCGCTTGGTTACACCGCCACGCCTTAGTTTTTTTAACCTTTTGATATAGAGTTTGTAACCTTAGTAACGGAGACAGTGAAGCGACGGGTTATCTCAGCGAACCGTTTTGAGAAAAGTGAGTCGTTTGGTAGCCTTTCCCTTGTTTTTGATTTATAACCGTTGATATTTGTGACTTTATAACCATTGTATTTAGACTTTATAATCATTGTACTTAATTAGTGTTTTACTCTTTCGATTTATACCTTTTATTAGTATTGTATTTAACCCTATAGTGGCTGACGGTATCTTTGATTTATGAACGTGTAATGCCGAGAGGCATATCTCAGTTTGGGTGAAGGG